GTGACTTTGGGAAGACCCTATTTAGAATTTTATATTCAATTTTTATTGTCAAGGTTTAAAGCAAGAGGTAGAGAAACTAGATATAAAGGCACAGAGGTATGAAAAAAGAAACGGATCTAAACCCAAATCCCAGCTGTATCACTTTCTAGCTGGTGACCTTCCACAAGGGGTAAAGGATGGGGAAGTGTGGAGGGCAGCTTGTTGAGGACCCGCTTTGTGCCAGGTGCTTTACACTTATCCTATTTAACACAACAACCCTACAAGGTAAGTTCTTAAATTCCTACTCTTTGGGGGTCTTTTCTTATTCATTTATTTTTAAACAGATTAACATGAGACATAGTCAAAATCTAAAGCTTGAAGAAGTTAAATAAGTTGCCCAGAGTCACAGAGCTTTAATCATAGAGCTAGGACTTAAATTCATATCTACTAACTCTGAAGTTCAATAAATATTAGTTCTTTTCCCCAAAGGAAAACTCAGAGAATAGCAATTTGTATCATCACAGGGATCAAAGGTAGATTTTATGGGCAGAGGTTGAAGCTGCTTAGCTTAAAAGATAGTTCTAATTACCATTTTTAAAATGTGGAGATTCTCTAAGGAATTTGTCAAACAATTACTGTGTCCATAAAAAACACCTACAAAAAAGAAACGTAGTATATATTTCGTAGGCTAGAAAGAAGAATTTTTCTGGGACAATCTCACTCATAGGGCCTATTGTTTGCAAGGTACTTTTCTAGATGCTGAGAATCTCAAATGAATAAACTACACCCTCGCAGTCCAGTGAGAATAGGTTTAAATACACAAGGTGCTCAATATACTGGATTGTTCAATAATTAGGTAAGATGAGGTAACAACCTGCAAGGAAGATGATTACATCTCTGGAAGCCTACCAATAGAACAAGGGAAATAGTTCAAAAAAGAAACTAGAAGACATAGAAAACCACCAAAACTAGAGAGCTTAGACTAGTGATTCCTAACATTCTGATAATAGTAACACCCTTACCATGTTTCATTTTGCATCGTTCCTTCCTCAAGAAGTTATCTGTCCAGAGCTATTCACAAATTTTTACACAATCACTCTATTTAAAAGACCACCATAGTACCAAAATGGCCCTCTACTGTTTCAGCCACCCAAGATCAGATTTTCAGTCATCCTTTGGTTATACAGCTTCTATGTAAGCGACCATAGTTAGATCATTTCAAAATGAACTTGAATCATGAAATTATAGAGGTGGCTAAAACCCTTCAAAATCATAAAAATACAGTTTTCTTCCTTCCATCAGTGGATCTCCAAGCTAGTGATCCCTAACAATGATTTTGGAGTAACTGAGGCTGTCGGTAATTGTTTTAGTTATTTCAAGAGATTTCATAAAATTGTTAAGACTTTAATTCATACATCTATATGAATAAACACACCATGTATACATCCAGGATAATGTATATCAGGGTGATCAAGATGAATTATACTAGAGATTTTTACTTTGTAAGAGATGTAACACCTCATACTTGTGTGCTCCGTCCTTAAAAGGGAGGTTAGCACTGAACTGAGACCAGAGGAAAACTCAGAGCCCTTTGTTATCTGTAATTCATTTGAACTCATCTATCCTCAAAGATGGGCAAACCCAACACTAACATTTCTCATTCCCACTGCCCTCAAATTAAAGTATATTTTGGTTTGACAAAATTCTTATAGTCTAAGGTAATAAAATAAAGAGAACGTAATGCATGTACTTAATGAACTTTCTACCCTACTAATCATACAGATAGGAAGAACACTAACAGCCAACTTTTAATGAGTGTTTACTATGTGCTAGGATAAGTTCTCTGCATGCATTTTGTCATTTAATCCTTACAACACATGTACATGATGCAAAAAACCCTATCTTTAAAACTATACATAAACCTAGAGATGGCTTTGTTTTTCTGCCATGTTCTTGAGATCCCCACCCATATCACATTACTGAAGAAAGAACGGAGAAGAAGCTGGATTTCCCTGAACCTCAGCTTGCCTTTCAGGTTATACAACTGCACCTTCATTATTTTTGGCATTTTCCTATGGTTCGAAAAAAAGTGTTGACAATTTTCTGCATCTCTAACACTTTGGATGAGCAATTTCCATCCTATTGTTTCTCCTCACATATGGTGTTCTAGCTC